AATTCAGTTTGAAATTTTTTCGTCTCCCAGTATTTGTTTGTGAAAGCCTTAATTACTGAGTAAGACCCCAAAGGGTAAACAAATATTCAGTGGTTTAATTTAAAATCAATAGAAACATGTCATTTTATTTTTCACTATGACCTTCCTTCTGGGGCCTATAACTCAGTAATCAAGGCTTTCACTAACAAATACAATGAGATAAAAAAAAATCAAATCATTTCAGTGGCGTCCTGTTTTAAAGCAAATTCCGTTGTCTAGGAAAGTAGGGAGGTCAAAGAGGTGCAGAACCCTTATAAAAACCTATACCTATAATTAAAATAATTTTAAACGCTACTAACTCCATTTTATTGGTCACTATATACAAACATCACATGTATATTTTCATAAACATAATATGTTAAGCCATTTTAGGGTAGGAGAGCACAATATCACTTTTAAAATTCCTACCTTTAACACTCTGTTACTTTTTGGCTGTCCATTTTTTATGTAAGCAAGTTAGCTTAATCGACCTATTTTTGACCCTGGAAACTGTGGTACGTAACATATTCGTCGAGCACAAATTTGACTCTCTCTTTCTTGTTTCTTGTAAATTCATTTCATTCATAACATATCTTAACCCATGTTTGTCCTGATATTTCTCTTTTGTTCCTTTTCTGATATTTTGACTCTCCCATATTTTGTTCGACCACTTTTTATTATTTGTTCTTTGAAACTGGCCCCACCCATGTCTATTATTTGAATACTTCTTTGTCGTTCCTTTTATGTTTAGAGTTTTTGTTTCTTTTAATTTACAACCACGTTCCTTTGAATTTTTCATTAAATCATATTTTAAAGCTTTTATTAATGTAGAGATCTTTAATTCGTTAATTTCTTACCTTCAATTCCGAAAGTAAATCATGAAAAATTGAAAACCTAAAACATCTCTATATATACATGGTGTCTAATAATAATGAGCAATAGAATGATTAGAGAATCCTTGGCCTAAATTATGAAGAGTGATACTTTGCCGCTTGAGACAGAAAATTGGCCGCTCAAAATGCACATAAGATTTTTTTACGATCACATTATTTAAAGGGTTAAATAGATATAAAAACTGAAAATTTGTCGTATAATATGTTGCCTATATCTACGTTAATCATGAGTCAATGTTAACTTCGATAATAATACAAAAAACCTCAAACTTCGTACAAAGAATATGAAAATAATTTATTAAAAAGAAATATTATTATTATTATTATTATTATTATTATTATTATTATTATTATTATTATTATTATTATTAATTATTATTATATCTAATTTAAATTAGACGAGCAACAAAGCTGTCACTTAATGTCAGTTCGCGGAAAACGTCAACTTTGCGGTTGTATTTCGAAGCGCAAAAGCCTACTTTGGATAGTGATCGTAGAAAAATTATATTTATGATACAAGAGCGTAAAATACTGTTTTGTGCAACAGTATTTAAAATACAATGTACCGAGTGGGAAACCACTAAGGTCAAAACATACCCGTATTTCTGAAATCACCTAAAAATTTGTATTGTGATTTCGGTGTTTTCCCCCTTAATTTTATAAGATGACCTTTTTTGCTATTCCCTTGACTTTTGATCCACAATCTGCTGTATTTACATTTTCAACTGTCAAATGAGATCTAACCTAACATGTTAACTCTCAACCTAACCTAGCAGTGCTACCAACCCAACTTAACTTAACCTGTCATTTGTGAAATACCTCTGGATGGAGTAGGAGGGGAAGGACAGTAGCAACTAGGGTTACATGTGTCAACTGTCTAAAATATGTCAGCACGTAAAAGTTATGATCGGCGTCAACAGTGTTGCCAACATATGTTGAGAACGGGGAAGATGGCCTGAATCTGTCGAGAACCTAAAGCCAAGATGGCTGGTGACGCTACAATATATGGGCAACCGTGAATATAACCTATCTTAGAAAATCTTGTGAATTTTATGCAACTACAGTTTCCGTTAGATATTTGAAGAGAAAATGTATATTTCTTCTTGATACGGAGGAAACCGGTCCAAGAATGACGTTCTTCTTAGTAAGCAAAATCAAAGTTAGAGTGTTATAAATAATTTTTCTACAATCACTATCCTAAGTAGGCTTTTGCGCTTCGAAACCCAATCGCAATGTTGACGTTTTCCGCGAACTGTCATTAAGTGACAGTTTTGTTGCTCCTAATTTAAATTAGCTATAATACAATATTATTTATTTTTAATAAATTATTTTCAAGATATTTGTATGTACGTAGTTACATATCCTTTTGTTATATTATCCAAGTTAACATGGACTTTGAATATCAACTGCTTTTTTCATGACTGACGTAGGTATAGGCAACACATACACTACTTACGACACATTTTCAGTTTTTATATCTATTTCTTTAAAAAAAGTGATCGTAGAAAAAATCTTGTTTGCATTTTGAGCGAAAAGTTCGTTGCTGCTTTCGACAGATTGCCGCGCTTCGCTACGCGTCGCGTGGGCAACTTTCTGTCTCAATCGGCAAAGTATTACTTTTCGCTCTTAATACATAAATAGCTATTTCTTAAGTTTTTCTTTGGGTATAATCCAATGCATGTAGTGATATCAGCCAAAGGAATAGATGCTTTCCGGAGGAAAACGGTCCTTCGTATTATTTTGTGACACATGGCTTAGATTTTTTTTTATTTACACCTTGTTCACATTTGAGTTTGGAATTGTTTCCTTTGATTAACAAATGAATTGTTACGTTTTCAGCAATTGCCGCAATTTCAGCTTGCGTGCACAAAATGTGATGAAAAATATTTTCCACATTACATTTTGATCGTTTCTTTTGCTTTAACACTTAGAAATTTACAATTAATTTTTAAAATGACAGAGCTATTAAACTAACTTACGGAAAAAGAAACAAGCGCGTTAAAAAAGAGTTAAAATTAAATCCCAATTTAAAAATCATTGTTCATTTTAAACACGCAATTGCGTGTCACATAATAAAACTCCCAATTAAAAAGCATTGGACTTCTGCGCCCTGTTTAAAATTCATAAAGCGTATTTTTACATACCAGAATAAAAATGTAAAAATTTTAAGGATGTTTGTTTATAAATAATTGTTTTCCTTGTGAAACATCAGAACTTTAAATCATATTTACTTTTCAAATCAGGATGTCAGGTATGTTTGTAAAATTCTCACTTTATGGAAACTCTTCCTTTGTACTTATCATTCTTCTGGTAATAAAATCCCTCTTCTTTCACATTTTAATGTATTATAAAGTACTTAAGACCTTTGTCAAATTTTACAAAGAAATATTAAACAGTGTCAAAATAATTTTTAAATGTTGATTTGTATAAGCGAACGCTTAGAACTAAATCCACTTTACTAACCGAAAGCAGACGATATAGGGTGAACTACCCGCTTCTCGCCATCTTAGTAGTACAGTTACCGTAAAAATTCGGTCAAGGAATGTATGCCTCAATTTTGAATCTAAACCATTTTATTTATGTCGGTTTTATGTAAGGAGGCTTTTAGCAGTCAGATAGAATGAGTTATAAGAAGAGAGATATTAAAAATTTTGAGAAAAAACGACCGTTCTCGATTTAACAGGTTTTTGACATCGTTTTGCTTGTTTCCGCCACATTACTATCCAGGTTCTCGCCATTTATTACTAATAATCACTATACATTTGAGCAATCGACGCCACTTAATAAAAGTCTTATGATTGAGATACTCGTATACTCGTTAACTATTATACTTTTATGATTTGTTTATTTAAATAAAAATAATAGAATTTTGTGATAAAATACCAGAATCTGTATCAAACATCGCTCCCCAACCCCTAACACAGATCAAAGAATAATATCTGTTTATATCAGCTCATACAATTGTTTATAAAATTAAACAGGAATCCTTTGTAAGTTTTTATAACTTACTGACATTTCACATGACATTTTTGAGTAATTTCTAAAAATACAATGTTACAAAATCATTTTATTTGACTCATTCAACATAAAATTTCACTCTAAATTCTCTGCTACCTGGTCATACTGTTAATACCCAGACTACTTAGTTTTAATAATAGTAGTGATAAATTAATCTTGGCAACCCCGCTCATTATCCAGAAAAGAAATGTCAAATATTAAAATTTTCAAGTTTTAGGTTAAATTTAATAAAAGACTCGTTTTCTTATTTTCAAAAAGTATTTAATTAAAATATATAATTGATTTATACTTTTTGTTTCCTATTTCCAAACCTAAGGTGAGTTAAAATCATACTTAATATCATTTAAATCAAAAAAATTAAGTAAAACTGGTCAAACAGTGTGTCCCTAAAGTCGAACATAACCTCTGGATAACTACTACCATTCAAATTCGCCAACCTCCTTCTTTCTCCATTACTTATTTATTCGCAGAATTGAAACTCGGTGGTAGTGTGGGCACTCGAGAAGTTTCCCAGTAACCAATCCAACCAGTAATAGAGTAACTAATTGAAATTTCCAAGGCCTTCCTTGTTCCTCTCGGAGTCCACTCACGTGCTTCGGTGTCACGTCGGCTCGACGTAGTGCACGCAGTGCCAAGCAGTCTCGCTCGCCGACGACGATACCCACCCCGTCTCCTTTCCTCTACTCTACGAAACCGACATCCACACATTATTCTACAACGTACGGATACGGTCAAACTCCATGCTGGTCGGGGAAGTGGGGTACACTATCTACTACAACAACGAGGGACTCCGATTCAACGTTTATTATTACATATTCATACATACGTAACGTCACATAACAAAGTGAACCTTTAACTTCTAAACTAAGTCGTGAAGTTGGTCGTTAGTGTCTAGTAGTGTTCTCTCGCTGTGCTCTCTGCCTACGGAATTCCAAAACCCGATTTCCTACTCTTTTTTTTTTTTTCATGAATTGAAAGACAATAAATAGTGTTTGAAGGATAACGAGTTCCATTGCAACCGATTTATAATTATACAATGAGATAATAAAGAATGTGTGCATGTTGTTGCAGTTGCAGCTAGACTAGTTGTTGCCAATCGGTTTTTTTGCTATGATTTTGTGATTACCATGGACTTTCAAAGACATTGTTATATCGGCGGAGGACAATTGTCTTCTTGGAAATATACTCAGTTTGGTAATCCTGATAGTGGAGTAAGTATTTTATTAACTAATATTGATTTTTTCCCGTAAATAATGATATGCCCACCTTTGCGAATTCCTTTCAAAAATTAAATATAGATGTTTCTTTTGATCCAGTTTGTAGTCAAAATGGAGAAATTAAAAACAATCATTGTATAAAAAATGTCGTTTTAATATTAGTTTAAAAATAAACTTTATTTTCTAGTTTCAAATGAAAATACGTTAATATTTAAGTATTGTAATGGATAAAATTGTATGAAATTAGAAATACCATGCTCTTACAATACTTTTAAAATTAAACCAAAAATCTTTGTTTGCAAATGGACAATATTGAGGTGATTAATAATTATTTACTTATTTATTTTACGTTACAAATTTGGCCTCAATTTCCCTGATGTGACTTTTTTAACCGAATATGTTAAGTATATTTTTTTCTGATTTTGACTTGTTTTTACTGTGATAGTATACATACTAACTTGTTCATAAAACTTATATATTGTATCTAAATCACATACTAGTGAAATTTGTCACTTCTGTGATTTTTATGTGTATTCTAAATTATATAGTTTTATTTTATTTAATGAAAACATATTTCTTATATAAATAAACATTATTTACATTTTGTAAAAAAAAAAATATAAAATATATGTAAAGCAGGAAATAAGGAATTTTGTTTGACAAAATCCATATTTTAAAAAACTGCCTTCCATTATCATTGGTACTAATATATGTATTTTATTGAAATCGTTTTTAGAAATAATTTAAAAAATAAGTTTTTAAAACTGCTTTATATTATAGAATTTTTTCAGTAAACAGTATTTCATTTAACTATTTATTGCTTTGTTCAAATTATGGAATTTGATGATTACTAATTGTAATTAATTGATAATAATTTCAACAATAAGATAATGAAGATTGTATGTATTTTGCTGGAATAATAATTGTAGTTAGACTAGTAGCCAATCAATTGACTGCTTTACCATGGACATTTTTCTAAGTTTCTTGTAAATAAGTGCAGTTTGGTAACTTTTAATTTCAATAATAAATATTAGAGTGGACAGTAACAACAAATTTTAATTTTAAATACTATTTATGTAGAAACAGTCAATAAAGGTTTTTAGTTTCCTAAGAAAATCTTATTTTACCTTAAATAGGCATTTAGTAGAAAATTGGTATTAAACTATTATTATTTATTATTCGCGTTCAATAGCGGCCAATAGATTAACAGATTAACTACACATTGCTACAAAGTTGCAAAATATACCCGGCATTTTGCATTTTTTTCTCATAATGCACAGTGATTTGCATTTTAATTGATAAAAAATAACCATCTATCAAAAAAAAAAAAATCTTTTATTATAGGTAGCTAATTATTTAAAATTCACATCGATGACGCTTTTTTTTATTTAGTTGCCACGCCACTTTCTATTTCTATTTCACTCGTCCTACAATACACACTACACATAAAGATTGGATTAATAGGAAAATAAAAATGTAGATATTTGACAATAAAATATAAATTCTGGATTTATTGGAACCTACACGAGACATACATTTTTAAACTTTAATATTATTTCTTTATGATAAATAAAGTTTCCTTTGGACCACCTTGTTTGTGATTTCTGTTTTTGCCATTAAGTTGACTTCTACATACTTGTCCAACATTTCCAACACTTATTTCAATTTGATTGACATTTGTTTTTCTAATTCGACCTCAGAAAAATCGCACACCGGAATCTACTAGGGTAGATGAAATGTTTTTTCAGGTTTCACCTTATTTGATAAAATATATCGATACGTTGGAAATAATATTAACTTTGAAAATATACTAACATTATTAATTCAACTGATTCCCATTCAAAGAAAATGAAGTGTTTGGTTTTACTTTGTTAATAGAAGAATTATGTTGAGATTTATACTAGATAAATAATTAAATTTACAAATCATAATATTAACCCTTCTTGTCCATTGGGTATAAGTGTGAAACACTAATTGTTTCTTCTGACCATAATTTTGTCTTTGTGTTTTATATTCCCTTACCTATTTAACCTGTGTTCTTTGAACTATTTGTCTCTGTTCAATATATTTTTCTATTGGTTTTATTTTTAACTATTATTACCTTGTTACTAATTCTATCATTCTTCGTTGCTCCCTTTATTCCTCTCGTAGATACCATTTCTGAGGCTCTAATTTAGCTTACATTCAGTTTTGTAGACTTTCATCTATGAGTATATCTCTTTTGCTAGTTTTTTTTTTTTTTTTTTTTAATTATCAATCCTTTCCTCAGTGCATAATAAACGTTTACAACGTTACTCCCAAAATATGTACGTGTCATCTGTACCTGTTATCGTTCAAAATTATGCTTATATTTAGTGGCGACTTGTGATCAAAAAATTGGGGGTTCACAATGACAGAATAAAGATTTCAGTACAGATTTAGGTAAAAAACTTTCAGTATTTATAATATACCTTCCGCCACCGCTTATATTCTATATTACTACATATTGGACCGATTTCTAATATTGACAGATTAGTTACGTATGTCGTAGAAACGTATTTCAGTGAATATTCCTCAACTAAGTTCTTTCAATGTACGAACCTATATTAAAAAAAGCAATCCTACATTTTAATATTACGAGGGCTGTTCTCTTTCCGCTGAGCCTATTTAGTATGCGCTGACATTTTGGCAACAAATTTTGACTGAAATTTCAATCTAGCTGTTTACAAGTTTGCTTAAACCGTATAGAATGTTATTGAGGAAATCAATCGAGTGCTTGGTGGCAAATTGTGTTCCTTCGCTACCGTAAAGCGATGGTACAATGAATTTAAATGGCCTATTTTCATGAAATAACAGGTTTAAGCCAAAAACGGCAGTAAACAGAAAAACTATTGATCTTATTTGGAACATAATTGAAGAGGACCGGCACATTACTGTCAGAAACATTCAAGCAACTTTAAAGATTGGCATGAAAGCAATTAACACTATTTTACACAAACAAGTCCGTAAACTTTATTCTTGGTGGATTTCCCACAATTTGACTCTAGCTCAAAAAGAAGATCATGTGAGATGATGCAGATCTATACTATATCGCTTTGAGCGTGCATCATATAATTTGATATACATAATCACAAGTGATTAAACATGGCTATACAGCTGTGATCCCGGAAAATAGCAAGAATCGTTACTTTGGGAGAGTGAGTCGGCTCCAACAAAAGTTGTTTGTGAAAAAAACCGTAACAAAGGGATATCTTTATATTTTTAATCACAACACACAAATCCCAAATAACGTTAACAACTATATTATTTATTTTACATTTAATTAACTTAGAAAACTTGTCACAGCATGCCATTAAATTGGATTTACTTTTTTTATTGCAACATGTTCACACATTAAAGTCTATTGATGCTATGATTTAAAAAATATGAAAAATGCAAATCTATTTCGATCTTACGTCGACCAACCAATTACCGTTCGCGTCTATGCGTCGCTTCTATTGTAGAGTATATTCTGATTGGTTACAAAGTCTGACGCTTATATTTTAACAAAGGTGATGTAATCGCTTTATTTATTTCTGCTTGAGTTAGCTAGTTTCTTGAAATTGAGTGCGCCGTGACGGCTAGAGCTATATTTTTTACTAGAGAGCATCGTAAATTTGGATTGCTATGATATGTTGAAACATTTTTCAACAACAACTAACTGTTTAAATGTTGTGGCTCTGTATATTAATTAAAATAGAAGGTTTGCTTTTGACGTTCATAAATACCACCATTGAAGTTTATAAAAATTAATAGTTTGCTGGTTTTTGATGTTATCGTGTTTTTAAACATAAAATATGGGGTTTCTTTTGCAATATTATGTTTACAAGGATTATTTCCGTTTAAACCTTTTAACTGGATTAAATGTAACACCCTCTATAATATATACATTGGTTTTGTTTAAAAACTTTCAAATACTTTTGGGTTCTATGAGTCTATGACAGACTTGCGTTCTTCGAACGGGTGTATTTTCTATCACAGACGTACGATCCATCTGATATTTTACAATTTTGATTTAAATGATAGTACCTTCAAAATGTGCTAAAGATTTACGGCGCTTCATAACTTCTTGTTAATAAGAAATATCAATTTAAAACTTTAATTAAATAATTTAATAACTTAATTACTTAAAGTATTCCAATAACTTATTTTATAGGTTTTTATTTTTAAATATAAAAAAGGTAAACCTAGCTAATTAGTTCGTTCTCACTGAAACGGAACTACTACTGATAGATGTATTTAAATTCAGGAATCTACGGATCACTAATTACAATTTAATTTAATTATACGGCCAGATAATGAGGAATGTGGTGTTGCATCCCGAGCAGACTAGTTAATAGGTATTGCCAATTGATGTTTTTGTTGCTGTTAAGACAGTTTTTTTAGCCTCTAAAAACGTCATTTTAATGAACAATGTTTTTAACTATTAATCAACATTGTTTTATTTTATATCAATGCTGTCCCAGAATGGACGCTCTTATATGAGTAAATGACAAAAATATTTTTTTAATTGAACATTATTCTTATGAGGTTAACCCCTGCTTATTTTAGAATAATTTTTTTTATTCACAAGAATAAACAAACTATTGTTTTAAATTACTAATAGAATTTGTTTGGAATTACCTACATTTTAAGCAAAATCATTTTAATGTTTTTTATTTCAATAAAGTTGCTCCACATCAACGCTAAGTCTGTATCATGAGCTGATTGCAAAGTACCTTGATACCAATTTATGGTGCAAAATACATGGTAAAAAGAAAAGGACCGATTAAAATGTAAACAGCACTACTGGCTCTTGAACAAAAACTCAAAACTGTCAGTACGTAACAACATTAATCTACGGCCAGGTTATAAGACCGGTATGGCATTTTTCTATGGGAATGTGCCAGAGATAGTTAAGTATATCCAAACCTATCAGAATAAAGTACTGCGCAGTATAGTGAACGCTCCTTGGTATGTACGCAATGCAGATCTTTATCGAGATCTTGGAATACCAATAGTGAAAGGAGAAAATCAAAAGCAATACAGAAACTCTTCAGCTGCTAGAGAAGCAGGACCATGTCCGGCGGTTAAAGGGGACCAAGCCATTTGATCTCGTGTAGTATGTGTGAAAGCTGAGCGCAGTACGCGAGTGACTCGTGTAATAGTAATCAGAACAATCTAAAGATTGCTTTATTGACTTTAGTTGATAAGTAATGAGTTTCAGATTGGTTCAGAACAAAATGAGTTAGTCCAAGGGACTAGTTTAAATGACAATCATTTGATTCTAAAAAAAAGAAGTTACCTCGAAGTTTACCGGGAGTTTTGAAATATATAGATTTCGATGTGCTCTTTCCGAACTTCAACTTTTCCACCTCGTATCTTTGCTGCTCGCGCCGCCATAATGAAAAATGGTACCTAAAAGCAGTTTTTCCACTCATTCACTATAAAAACATTTATAAACAAAATGAAACTAAAGAAAATTTCCTACACCCGTTTTGATAAAAAAACTCATTTCCAAACCACTTTGGGGTAGTAAGCGGCGTTTTTTTATCGTAGTATCCCCAGTAGGCCTAATCCACATGCAATTCACTATTCCAAAATTTAGCGCATTCTCCTTCGCTTCGCTTTTCTTAAAGGTGTTGCTAGTTCATTGTCTTTAGAACAAATCGAAACGTCACAGACAGAAATTTCTTCGCGATGAGATGCATGCTTCACAACATCAGCATATAAAAGTTAATTTAATAATGCGTCGCTACCACAAACGGAAGCAGAGGCACGACAACATTCGTTCCGAACCTATCACTAGTTTTATCAGTGGTATGGAAATGAACAAAATTAAGAGCGATAGGGATGAAAAAGAAACAAGAACGGAATTGGAAGAGGAATTGGCCTCTGACAATACTCGAGTCCTCAGCTCCGGAATGCTTGTTAAAAGTTATTTCTTGCAAATTCAAAAAGATATGTCAGAAAGCCTGTAGATACAGAGAGGCTGGGTTAAAGTGATCAGTTATATACACGAGTTGTAGTGTTACCTGAGGTAACTCGCAAGTTCCATTACAAGATAGCGATGAAGAGAAATAAACGCAGACTATTTCCGAGAAAACGTTTTATGAAATCGAAGATGATGTCAAAAAATTTCTGTTTTTGACGTTTCGATCGGAACTAAAGACAATGAACTCGCAACACCAGGTCCATCAAGAACAGAGAAGCAGAGGAAGCTAAATTTTGGAATAGTAAATAGCATGTTTCTGGATTAGACCTACTGGGGATACCACGATAAAAAAAAGCCTCTTACTCTACCTCAAGATGGCGTGGAAATGAGTTTTTTGGCCAAAACGCGTGGTGAACTATATCATGAAATTAGTCTGAATGGAAATATTGTCAAAAAACCATTTTTCCAATAAGGCGGCGGGAGCGGCAAAGATACGAGGTGGCATAGTTGAAATTCGGAAAGAGCACATCGAAACCTATAAAATTACTCATTTTCAAAATTCCCGGAAAACTTTCCAGGTAAAACTACCATAAGGTGTCAAAAAAAAGTTGCTCCAAGTGATATTAACGCATCCATTCTGAGACAGTTTCTTACGTTTGTTTATCTACATCCGATGCATTTTGTACCTCTAGGCGTTTGTTGATTCACATTAACTTTTTTGTATCTGGATTTGAAATGAGATGTTGATAGTGAAGATTGTCAAAACTGGTCATTGTTATTTTTTGTTGGCTTCGTCTATATTCCTGATCTGATCTGATCCAGGCGACCAGAATAGCATTATCGTGAAAAATGAGCTCGATCAGACCTTCACATACTGCCAAAGGTAATTGTTTGGTTTAGTTTGTACACTGTTTTCGCTTTTCTTTCAATAACAGTAAATAATTTGAATTCGCATAATAATATTTAATCACGACGGTCTGTAACGGTTATTTTTGCCACGTGACCGCTACATGGATAAACAAACGTAACATTATGTATAAATAAAATATAAATATTACCTTAACATTACCAAAATCTTTCTCATTTTATCTACGTATAAATATTTTATTTATATTTTATGAGGTACGTGTAATTTGCAGAATTACAAATATGATTTGCTACATTAAAAACATAAATACGAAGTTTCGTACTCTTTTAATATATTTATTCAAAAATAAACTGTAATTTTCATTACATAAAGTATAAACATATGATATGAAGATGTTTGGCCACAGCCAACTGGTCTGACTTGCCAATCTATTTTCATTTTTTTCTGTTTATATGATACACTAAGGTCATGAAATTGCTTGATATCAGAAAATTGTTAATATGCGATTGACTTTATGATAACTTTGAAAATTTGTCTTATTATTTTCTTAATTGTTAATGTTTTACAGAGTGAGGTTTCATTTTTCAAGCATTTTTACTATTTTTAGAAATTGAAATTAAAGCTTTTTATGTTTTTTGATTATGTAGATTCTTATTTTGAAGTTTGCATCTTTTAAGCGAAATTAGCTTGATAATTACAAACATTTGAAAATATGACCATTTATACAGTAGAAAATAAATACATGTCTACGAATTTCTAGAATATATATATTTAGTACATTTATTTAATAATATAAGAATAGGTAACCTTGGAAATGAAGAATACGTCCTTCTTTCTGGCTAATTCGAAAAAATTTTACACTTATTTATGGCGACTATGAGACATCATTACAATATTTTGTAACACCAATAACTAATAAGGACGAGGAAAGAAAGAAATTGAAGAAAAATGTAGCGGATTAAATTTGGTACTGCTATGTTATAACCAGAGATAACAAATATCGTGCGGTCCTGAATAAGACATTCTAAGGGATACAGGAGGGTATAATATCCGCTGTTGTCATATACATATTTTATTATTCTCGTTTTGTTTACAAAATTAATTACATATATTAAAGAAGCTAAAATAATTCAACCTATTTTATTGCAACTGAACCCAAACATTTTTGAATCATTAGTTATATCAAATTTAACTAAATTAGATGTAATTTCACTAAATTAGATGTAATAATTTTCAATAAATTCCAAAACCTAGTCATGTTAGCTTGGAATTGGCAACAGGGCTTACACCGGCATGGATATTTACGTTGTTTATTATAAGCGCACAGCGACTTACACATTTATTCATTGATAAAAAAAAGTTTGTATCTGCGTACAATTCTTCTCTTTATCCCCTCTCTTACTTCTCACCTTTCGTCTCCTCGCCGCGTACCTACAAATAGATTGTATTGATTGTCGAATTAATTTTGGCATCGTGAATATTATATTTTATCAATGAGTGGTTATATCTCTGTTATCTCTAGTTATAACCCACAATGTCTCCAAAAATTCAAAAATCTAAAATTACTACATCAATAATTATTAGTGGTTAGTTTTATTTAAAAAATATTATGTAAGCGGAGCCGTTACAAATAATAATTCTTCAGCACGTTGCGTTAGTGATAGTGCGAAAGAAAACTGTTAAAACAACAAAAAAACTTATATTTCGTGCAATTTTTTTAAATAAAAATAGCAAAACGATTTCGGATTAAGCCATTTTCTAAAAGCAAAAGTAATCCTATAATATCGGTCGTCAATTATTGTTTATCCAAAAATAAAGTATTGGAGAATAATAAATAACTTGCTAAATCACCATTTTATTTATTTTAAATTTTTATTAATTTGTTTACAATAATGACTTGTCATTGTACTTATTGCCGTCTTGACTCTACTTGAAATGATTAAATTATAAAATAAAAATTTATATGAAAACGTTTTATTTCAAACACATAAATATACATTTTAAATAATAAATAAAATGGTAATTTAGCAAGTTGGTATTCTCTCCCCAATACTTCATTTTTAGACAAACAATGACGACCGATATTATTGAATTTCTTTTGTTTGACAATGAATACTGAAGATGGCTTAATGCTGAAAGCGCTTTGCTATTTTTAACAAGAAAAATTACACGAAATACAAGTTTTCTTTTATGATCTAAGCTGCGTCCACACTGCATTTAACCCTTTTTGGTTCATTTTAAATTGTTAAAAGCTTAAAAAAGAAAGATCGGACAAGCACCAATAGCTTATTACGTACGATATTATTTGACATCTAAGCAGGCGCTGATCAAAATATTTACTGAATTACGCAAATACTGTTAACGCAAAACGGTACTTACGTAAGTTTACGGAAGGGGTAATAAAAAAATAAGTCAACCCGAATGTATTCAAATTAAGAAAATTTTATATCAGCCGTATGGTTAAATGGTATGCCGTTTGTCATTTTTGACTGTTAAAATCACATTGTTCTTCATTTCCCAAAATATTATAATGAGTAATCCACAAAAATCTTTCTAAAGTACGCCATACAAAAAAATCACGTATGTTGGAGCGTACAATTCTTTTCATTTTTTTTTAAATGAAAGTTTGAGTTTAATCTAGAATCGTTCGTAGTTATCACGGACGTAACTCGTATCTTATAATAAATATCAATAATTCTAAAGCATTCTAAAACATCCTTATTAATAAACTTGTAAATCAAGAATCTTTATTAATTTTTTTTTATTTTCTTTCTTTTCGTATTAATTAAAAAAATAAACTTCATTTGCTGCTCGTGATGTTTTGTTTCTGTGTCTATGCTAATTTTGATTTCCAAGTAAACTAGAAATGGTTGATAATTTTGTTCAGTTTCACAAGAATTCCGGATTGCGTAGGAAGAAATTTGTAAATTAATACGTAATTTGTTATTATAAACGGCCATTTTATATTTATTTCACTGGTAGAAAAATGTAATCATAATCATAATACGTGGGAGCCACAAAGTATGTATATTCTAAAGGATTTCTACATTACATGGATTTTCTTTATTATATAATAAAGAAATAGCTATTTGTGTATTAAGAGCGAAAAGTGATTCTTTGCCGCTTGAGACAGGAAGTTGCCCGCGCAACGCGTAGTGGAGCGCGGCAATCAATGTGTTGCCTATATTTATGTTAAACAAGAAAAAAGGAGTTGCTATTTAAAGTCTATGATAATATTTGGATAATACAAAAAACATAACTAGTACAAATAACTTGAAAATCATTTATTAAAAAGAAATATCCCTAATTTAAATTAGGCGAGCAACAAAGCTGTCAACTTTGTCGATCGGCGCGCGACAAAGATGTCACTTAATATCAGTTCTCGGAAAACGTCAGCTTTTCGGTTGGATTTCGAATCGCAAAAGCCTACTTTGGATAGTAATCTTAGAAAAAGGTTATTTTTCATGAACTCTATTTTTAAAGAAATAAATGTTTTATGTAGGTACGTAGGGGTACTATAAGCTTAAAAATTATCGGCCTAAACAAAAGATGATACCACCAGTATCAGAGCAATGTTATTTTTCGTAAATACTTTACCCACTTGAATCATAGTTTGTGTATGACAGCCATTATTAGCGAACATTTTTGCATTTTTACGAAAATTAATAGACTCGAATATCGTGCAGTGATAATATAAAAAAAAAAACGAACTATGAGATCAACACAGAATTGAACGATGTTTGTGGGGACTCTGCACCTTCGATATCAACAATAACATATTAAAGTGCTGGATTTAAACTCGGGTCGTACGAGCATTTCAGTTGATAAGCACCTAGGCCGTCCAAAAGAGCTCACCACACAAGAAATGATCGATAAAATCACTAGTATGGTGATTGACGAGTGTGTGCAAGATTTCATGAATATTTGGGAATGAGAAGCTCGCTGTCAGATTTATGCCGCATTTGCGCAATATTGGCGGTGTTCAACCGCAATAACGACTTTTGCACAGTCGCAATGCAATATTGCAAGGATTTCGCTACGAATTAGTTTCTCATTCCAGATTTGGCTTCCTTCGACTTATATTTTCAAACTGGAAGAAATGGCTCAATGATAAGAGTTTTGGGCTGACTGAACCATAATAGTCGATGTGAAATAGCTATTTATGAAACCAGTTGCGA